TGCACTTCTCTTGTTAAAGGCAGGTACTAATCTGTACATCCATTCACACAGCATCATTCACAAGAGTCAAACGGTGGGAGGGTCCCAAGTGTCTACCGACAGAGAAATCAAATGTGGTCTATCAATGAAAAGGAGCATTATTCGGCCTTTAAAAGGAAGGAAACAGCCATCCATGCTATAAAATAGATGAGATGAACCTTGATGACATGCTAAATGAACTAAGCGGTCACAAAAAGGACAAATGTCATGTGATTCTACTTATACAAACACCTGAAACTACCAAGTTAATCAAGGCCGAGAGTAGAAAAGTGGTTACCAGGGTTATGGGCTGGAGTAGAGAACATTTTTTTTCCTTTGTTTCTTAAATACGTTCAGAATTTCAAAATGTAAAAGTTCTAGCAATTGGTTTCATAATGGAAAAATAATTTCTGCCACTGAACTTTCAAAAGTTAAAGCACTTTTTAAAAGTTAAGATAGTAAACTTTAAGCATTTTTTTCAAAGGGGGGGAGAGAGAGAGAATAGAGAGAAGAGAGGAGGGAGGGAGGGAGGAAGGGAGAGAGAACGAGAGAGGGAGGAGACAGAGAAAGAGAGAAGGAACTAGCCAAACAATCCAGATCATTTACAAAAAGGTGGGATTACACACAAGCATGAGTGTCAGGAAGTGCCATCAGTAGACACCAAAGCCACATTCTGGTAGCATTGTCAAGGTCATCAGAATGGTGTTCACTACCATATGCATGGCAGCTGCTACATCTAAGATACACAGCATCCTAGTTCCAAAGCATAGCACAGCCACAGTGAGGCTGTCCCAACGCTATCCTTCAGAATAGGATTTTCTGCAGGTGATGTTGCAGATCAGTGAAGCCCTGACAAACTCTGAGCCCACCACAAAGTCTCTAACGCATCATACACAGCATGCTTCAACACACTCCCCTAGTCTCCCCTGGGTCCCAGGGCCTAGCAGACTGTGTTGATGGTTTCAGAGAGGATCCACAGTGGATGGAGGCTGATTTCCACCTACTCAGATTAGGAGGAAAGCATTCTGAACAACTCATGTCCTTGCCTTGAAGCCAGTTATATTCACTTCCAAATAAACACTGTGAAACCTCTCTTTCCTTTCTCACATCAACTGAAAGCAAAGGACTTTTCAAAGGCTAGGGAGCTCAGGGGGTGAGCTCACGTGTAGAGGCGCTGAGCTGAGTACCCGGCACACTGAAAGCGCTGAGAATCCCATGAGGCATGAGTGTACATTCTGTCCAGTGAAGAAGCCTTTGAGATGCTTTAGGAAGACACTGCATGCAGCCCTGTCTCTCAACAGCCCAGTACAGGGAAGACTTTCTCACAGGACTGGCATCCATTAGGCATGCAGCAGGGTTAGCAAGCAGTTCACATTTAGAGGCTACAAATTGGACCCTTGAATACTACACTGTCATTTGATGCAGGGAGAGAGACACCTCAGGAGGGATGTAGAAACACAGGCTGGCCAATGGGATTCACCTCTAAGACTTCCTCATATCTTGTACTTACTTTGGGAGACACTCCTTAAGAGAGAATGGCAGAAACTTTCCTAGTGAACACATGACACCAGTACTTCTCATTACTTTAATAAACTGTGGGTACTTTCATTCACACACCGAAACAAAGACACGGTGTGATACCACAGAGTGCAAGATAAGCACAGGTAAGCACACAGAGATTTTTTTCCTCATTTGTCAACACTTATGGACCCCATTATGGGTGAGGCACTGGGCTACTAGTTAGGACGCCTGGGATTAGAAAGGCAAAAGGGACACACCTTCCACATCTTGGTAGCTAGGAAAGATTCCCAGCACAATGGTCACCTCACATGGAGGTGTTACTCATCCCCTGATGTCATTTAGGTAGTGACTTAGAAGGGAAGACAGCTCTATGTGCAGTGTCCCTCAAAAGTCGGGTCACTGTGTATTTGTATGTCACCAAACCTTTTTCTTTTCCTGTATGTTTTTTTTTGGGGGGGAGGGGTATGGGGGGATTGTACCAACATGGTTCAAAGTCTTTAATTTGATACTGAGTGACTTCACACATGTCCTGGGGGAGGCAGGGTGTCTTAGTCACTTTTCCACTGCTATGACAAAATGCTCTGACCAAAGCTACTTAAGAGAGAAAGGTTTGTTTTGGCTCACAGCCCCAGAGGGACAGAATCCACCACGGCAGACTGACAATCAAAACGAACCACAACAGCCATCATGTCCGAAGCCAAAGGCAAAGCTTGGGTGCACCACCAACTATTTCTCAAATCTCTGTGTCTATGGCAGTGAAAGAGAAAAAAAGAAGCGGAATTAAACAGCACTAACTCAAGCCAGATAGCCAAGGGGTCACCAGCCATCCCTCTGAGCGATAAACAATACCTCAGTCAGCAAAACAGCACAGCAAACTGGAGAAGGGGTGTTTTGAACATGACCACCCAGTAGAATGCAGAACAATGGCCCAAACAAATCAGTATCCCTCACTCAAAGCTTTGATCTGAAGTCCTTTTCACAAAACACTCAAGCACAAGT